TGATACAGACAGCAGGACGGTGGTCATGGAAGTCGAAATCCGCTAAGGAGTGTGTAACAACTCACCTGCCGAATCAATCAGCCCYGAAAATGGATGGCGCTGAAGCGCGCGACCTATGCTCGGCCGTCGCGGCGATTCTCACGCCGCGACGAGTAGGAGGGCGCGGGCCCTGCTGCGAAGCCTGGAGTGTGAGCCTAGGTGAAGCAGGTCCCGATGCAGATCTTGGTGGTAGTAGCAAATATTCAAATGAGAACTTTGAAGACCGAAGTGGAGAAGGGTTCCATGTGAACAGCGCTTGGACATGGGTCAGTCGGCCCTAAGAGATGTGGAAACCTTGTATCAAGGGCGCACTGCGCGCCGCATATCGAAAGGGGGCCGGGTTAATATTCCCGAACCGGGTTGTGGAGGTGGACGGTAACGTAAGCAGCTCCGGAGATGCCGGCAGGGGCCGTGGGGAGGGTTCTYTTTCCTTCTTGACGGCTCGCCCACCCTGGAATCGGATCAACCGGAGATAGGGTGCAGCGCCCGGCAAAGCACCGCGCGTCCTGTGGTGTCCAGCGCGCCACCGACGACCCTTGAAAATCAGGAGCTGCGGGTACCTCTCACGCCCGACCGTACTCATAACCGCATCAGGTCTCCTAGGTGAGTAGCGTCTGGTCAAAGGAAGAATGTAGGTAAGGGAAGTCGACAATATGGATCCGTAACCTTGGGAAAAGGATTGGCTCTGAGGGHTGGGCCTAGGGGTCTGCGCCTCGATGTCGTTGGCTGCCGGTGGTGTGCCCGAGCTGCTCTCGCGGCGAGGGCGGAGCCCGCATGCCAGTGTGCTGATGGACGTAGAATGTCTTATGTCCCCACCTTTCGGGTGGGGCCGTGGGACTCTCCCTAAGCATCAAACTGCCGACTCAGAACTGGTGCGGACAAGGGGAATCCGACTGTTTAATTAAAACAAAGCATTGCGATGGTCCCAACGGATGTTGACGCAATGTGATTTCTGCCTAGTGCTCTGAATGTCAAAGTGAAGAGATTCAACCAATCGCGGGTAAACRGCGRGAGTAACTGTGACTCTCTTAAGGTAGCCAAATGCCTCGTCATCTAATTAGTGACGCGCATGAATGGATTAACGAGATTCCCACTGTCCCTATCTACCATCCTGCGAAACCACAGCCAAGGGAACGGGCTTGGAAGAATCGGCGGGGAAAGAAGACCC